TTAGATGTGATCCACCTCATAGTAACAATCCTGTCAGATCGTCCATCCTTTGAGTGAGAGTGTAACCTTACAGGTCGGCCGATCTGGTTTCGTGGTTAAAGTTAACCTTTTCAACATGTTTCTCTGTTGTCGTTGTTCAGCAATGGCATGGACGCCATGTTGTCTGGGGGTTTGGCAAAAGGAGAGTGAGACTGTGGGCGGTGCTCGGGGTGGTGCCTGAAGGCGGTGACTGTGTAGTTCTGACGTCAACTTTTTACGGAAGTCACAACGGTTCGTGAAAAATCACAGCTACTTTAAGCAGGCTGTGTGCATTTTACTGTGGACTGACTGTTTTGAAACTTATATGGTAGTTACATAGCACCTAGACCTCAGTTATCATGAAAAAAGCCAGGAAATTTCAGTTTAGACAATATGGAACCTTTAAGCTGTAAAGCTTTTAAATGTTGCAAATTTCTTTTATTTACACTACTGTTCAAAAGTTTGTGGTCTGTAAGATATGAATATTTTTTGAAAGAAGTCTCTTATGCTCATGCTCATGAAAGCTGCATTTATTTGATCAAAATGCAGTGAAAACAGTAGCCTAATGTGAAATATTGTTGCAATTTTTAAAATAGGTTTTTTTATTTTAATATATTTTAAAATGTAATTTAGTCCTGTGATTGCAAAGCAGAATTTTCAGCAGCCATTACTGCAGAAAACAATGTTCAATAAACAGTTACATTAATCATTTTAATAATATTTTTTTTTTTTAAACCAAGTAGTTCATTACTATATTATATATTATATATATTATATATATATATATATATATATATATATATCATATAATACCTTTCCTCTGGGTTTGGTGGGAGACTTTGCCTTGATCCGAAAGGACAAAGAGGACAGTCTTCTTGTGCAGGTTCTGAAGACTCTTCTTTAATAGAAGACAAGTGTCTGAGCTCTGCTGATGGTGCAACATCTGCAATGCAAATTGAAATATCATTTAATATTATTACCTAACATATTTGAGGTAACTCGAACTTACAAATGTTATGCAATTTATTTTTCCAACATTATGCAAGATATAGTCATGTTATTGTTAAGAATACTAACCTTCTGTAAAAAATGACTTGCTATGCAAATGGGAGGTGTGGCAAATCTTTTAAACAGGTCATGTCCTTTTGCTTAAAAAGGCAATACTTGCCCCTCAGCTAATTTTCTTCACAAAAACCCTTCAGTCTTCTCAGGCCTGTTTGGACAAGCCACTAAATAGTCCTAATATACAAACTAAGGTGTTTCAGACAGAAGATCAATAACCATCACATTTTTTCATGTACATTTGTTATAACTTGCACAGTGAAGTCAACACACCCTACTACTGTACTGCCATAATATGCTCTGTTCTTATGAGATACGGTCTTTGCAAATACATAAGACTATGTCTTTAGCTGCTTTTTTTAAAGTGTGCATTAGCTTTGTCCATTGTGTCAGGCTTCCTGACACTTGATCTTATCAGTGACGCTCACTGAGTGCTCTATAAAATATTTAAACATTAGTTGTCTTTGATGACGGCCCTTTTTTTTTTTTGTCTTTTTCACGGCAGTTCGTGACATCAGGCATTTACTGTAACCTCTCAACAAGTAGAGACTTGAACGCTCCAGCAGAGGAGGTGCTTTGCCTTCAAGTCTGAGCGGCTTTAAAATGCTCTGCTTTGGTAGAACAGACGTTCACAGTTGTGTCGTCTACTTACATTAAAAGTCGTTTTGGACCCGGAATAAAAAAATGGAGAATATAAACAACTCCACAAACGTGGACACCGCAGACAAAAACTGTCAGGACAACATCGACCAAAACCGAGCGCTGTACATTTTCTATTCTTCTGTGGTAGTGCTGGAGTTTATCTTGGGTCTCCTGCTGAACATTACAGTTATCCATCTCTTCGTCTTCAAGCTCAAGTTCTGGAAATCTAAGACCATTGACATTTTCCTGTTCAATCTGGTCCTGGCTGATATTTTGTTGCTGATTGGATTGCCCGTAAAGGCTTATAACTTTCAGCAATGCAGTGAACAGAAGGTAGTGTGCAAAGTACAGCTCTTTCTGCAGTTTCTCAACCGAGGAGCCAGCATCGCCTTTTTGACGGTCATCTCCATTTATCGATATTTTAGCGTGGTCCATCCTGGGAAGAGGAAAGTTCTGAGGATTTTGAGACTGTCGCCTCAGATTTCTGTATTCATCTGGGTGCTGCTGGGAATTTTGACCATTCCAGCCATGTTGCAAAGTTTTTTCAGGTGCAACAGCAGTGAAAAAGATGAGCAAATCAGTCCCATTATTCTACTGAGGGAAATTGTGTTTTTTACTCAGATTTTCATCCCCTTTTTTGTTCTTGTGTATTGCTCAATACGGATTATCAGAAGACTCAAACAGAAATCGGTTGGCGACAAGACTAAGCTCCGGAGAGCGATGTTCCTCGTCACTTCGGTGGTTTTCGTCTTTGCTGTCTGCTTCTTGCCGTATGCCATAACAAGAGCAGTGCAGCTACATATCAATGGGCTCGTGATGAAAGAGGAAAAAGTTACTGTCGTTAAACTGTACGATGGGCTTGTTTGTCTGTCTTATCTGAACTGTCTGTTGGATCCAATCCTGTACTGCCTGAGTAGCAGTAAATTTAAGAAGTTATACATATCAATGTATCTCCCCTTTCTACTGGAGAAGGAACAACCGGAAAGTTCAGAAGATACTGCAGATGACTAAGTAAAAAAAAAAAGAAGATCCTTTGAAAAGGATGTTGGGAGAATTTCAATCAGTTGCTTGCAATTGCATTTTAATACATTTTGAATAGTATATGTGTAGTTGACACAAACAGTATCATGTCCAAAATGTATTTATTTTTTTAAAGTTTTTTTTTTTCTTTTTTTAAATCAAAGTCTGGAGTTTTGGTTAAAATTGATAGGAATGTATAAATTACAGAAATGTGTATTTTAGGCACTGTGACCATTTTAAATCACATTTGTTTTCTGCCTTCTCTAGTTCATTTTAAATGGCCCTGTGGTGTGACAGATGTACAGATAGTCCACGTAATCATTATGAATTCAGCGCATGACCTCATATTATTCTACTATTTAACAATAAATAAAATGATATAAGGTCATGAACGCTGGATGCATAATAATGACAAAACAATTAGCCATATGCTTTTAAAAATAGTTTTAGATGAAGCAGCATGTCACACTGAAGCATGTCAATTCATTTTTTAATTCACCTCCTGTTTGTGTGTCTTGCTTATATTGGACTTTCTGATGTGAGTGATTTACATTTGTAAATGTGATTAAGGATTTGTAGTCTGGAAACTAGAAACGCATGATTTAAGAAACTGTAGAGAACATGGTATCTCAAATTGAATTTTATTTCCATACTATTGTAAATATAACTTTTTATAAAGACTATAAAGATAAAAGACCTCTTGATTCCTACCATTGGTGTTATTAGTAGCCAGAGCCTCTGACTCATTCTCAAACTCACCAGAACATGTGGCTTTGGTTGAGCTTTCCTCAAAGGCATTTAAACTCCCAGCAGGTTTTGGGCGAATAGCATCTGAAAAGCTCGGAGGTGTCTGGACTTGCCAGGGCGCTAAGAATGTGGGAGATAAAATCTGTCCTGAAAGAAAAAGTAAAGTTCTGTAATGAAGATAAAGAGTGGTGCATTTAGAACCGAAAGCCTAAAGAATGATGATTTTCTCAATAACATAAACATCATAAACAACTGTACCTTTAATTAAGCCAAACGTACCTGGACTGATAAGAGAGAGCAATGCGTTCTGTTCCTGTAAAACCCTCTGCAACTGCTTCACCTGAAGCTGAAGGATAATTTTCTCATTTTGGTCTAGATTCTGTTCAGAAAGAGATATGATCAAGATATAAAATCTAAATCTTTATAGAGATAAAAATAAATAAATAAAGGATCTATACTTTATAAGCTGAATCTATATTAGCTAATAGCTAAGGCGTAGGTTTGATTTTAACATTGGTGGGGATATAACAGCAGACGACACCCCCTCCCGCATCCAACTACCCCAAAATTTTCACATTTATGATAGACTTTTAGCCACAGTTTAATGTAAACTAAAGTTTTTATTTATAGCTATGGTAGCTAACATACTCATAATTCATAAAAAGATTAATTATCTTAGCATATTCATCAGACATTAATTACACAATTTTGATTATGTAAAAACCAACAATATTACAGCAGCAGTTTTCTTTGGATTGTTTGTCTACTCAAAAGAGAATATAGCAAAATATAACTTAATTTGTGTTTCCTGCTAGCTAAATTTCACATGCATAAACAAAAATCTGTCTCTAAACCTCTCTTTATTCAAAGCTGATCTAGACAAGTACAAGTAAAATAGCTATCCAAAGCTCTGTTCATCCTAAAAAACCATGACCACAAATTAACCAGGGTTTTGCTGCACCAACCATAGTTTAACCATGATATTTGTAGTAAAAAAAAGTTCGTTATACAAATGATAATCTACATTACTACACTTTTAGTGATTAAACCATGGAGAGTCTATGCTAGCACATTCATCAGACAATAATTACACAATTTTGATTATGTAAAACCAACAATATTACATCAGAGCACTGGGTGTTTTAATTAGGCTGCATATCATTTTATTTGGTCCCACTTTATATTAAGTGGCCCTAATACCTGTGTACTTACATAGTAACTAGATGTGTACGTAGTATGTAACCACAGTGTAAGTACACATTGGTACATAGTATCTACAGCTGTACTATTTCTGTAACTACACACATGTAACAACCCTCCGAATGGTTTGTGTATGTACAAATGTGTAACAGGACTACATTACATTTACACCACATATAACTACATTTTGTAACAACAATATGTATAAGAGTAATTGGAACAATTTGATCCAGGGGGTGGAGATGGGTAGGTTTAGGGGTGGAAATGGGATCCAGGGGGTGGAGATGGGTAGGTTTAGGGGTGCAAATGGGATCCAGGAGGTGGAGATGGGTAGGTTTAGGGGTGCAAATGGGATCCAGGGGGTGGATATGGGTAGGTTTAGGGGTGCAAATGGGATCCAGCAGGTGGAGATGAGTAGGTTTAGGGGTGCAAATGGGATCCAGGGGGTGGAGATGGGTAGGTTTAGGGGTGCAAATGGGATCCAGGGGGTGGATATGGGTAGGTTTAGGGGTGCAAATGGGATCCAGGGGGTGGATATGGGTAGGTTTAGGGGTGCAAATGGGATCCAGGGGGTGGAGATGGGTAGGTTTAGGGATATGTAAAGTGGGAGGAGTTGGATCTCAAGTTGGTGGAGTTGGTGCACCACTGTAATACCAGTGTACTTACATGGTAACTCCTCAGGAACTGTCCACTTAATATAAAGTGTAACATTCTGGACACCAACCACAATTTTTATGTAAAGTCTAACTTACTGGCCGCTGCTGTGTAAAATCAGAGTAATTACATGGTAAATCCATAGGAATTGTTTACTTAATATAAAGTGTAACACTTTCTTTACCAAAAAGTGCTGTTAGTCATGTTACACATTTGTACTTTCATTACCAAAAAATGTTGGTACCAATGTCCTGTTACACATTTGTATTTACACATACCATTCAGTGGGTTGTTACATATGTGCAGTTACACAAACATTACCGCTGTAGATACTATGTACCAATGTGTACTTACACTGTGGTTACATATGTACACATCTAGTTACTATGTAAGTACACGGGTATTAGGGCCACTTAATATAAAGTGGGACCAACTCACATGGATCCTACTGTTGCTAAAGTAACGAACACAACCTTCTGGATTGACAGATAAACCACACACTTATTTCAGTGTTGTTGTTTTATTTTGTGGATATTTCAGCTAACAGTTTTTGTACATTCAGTTTTTGTTATACGTTTTAAAAACTTCGGCTATCTTAAATGTTCTTACTCCGCACCTTTATTAAATGGAAGTCATTGAAAGCGCAGTTTTTTAGCGTATTTACTTTAACTCAGGTAATATCAATGGTACAACCTATTTCAGATGCGGCCAAAATTACAACAACAGTGGTTACATATACATATATTTAATTGTTTGATTAAAATTATTCCTAGGGACAATTTAGTAGTCGCTGGATATTGGTAGGGATATGTCTTAGTCTCCCTATAAATTCTATGCCCTTGGCTAATAGGGCCATTTACAATATGTGTTGCAACAAAACAATTCCATATTTCTTTAATAAATACAATTATTAGCATTAAACACGGACAGAGATGTATTTGTACTTTTAGATTTTAATAATGTGTAACTATGTAATATAACAAAACTTTTAATGATGTCAGAAAAAAACAGAGAAAATGTAACTGACAATTTAACTACATACTGTAAGCTTAGATTTCAGGATTTTTGGGCCAAAATCAGATAAAAAAATACATGTAATTCCAATTTTGTCAGAAGAGTAATTTGTCAAAAATTGTCAATATACAAACAAATAAATGAAATGATAATAAAAATGAAAAATCAAGGTATAAACAAATAATTAATGTAAAGATTTACAAGAAAGAAAGAACAAAATGCAGTACCATTATCAAACCACTAATAAAACTCGATACTAACAAAAACTCGAATCGTTTCTTTGTACAGATACAATTTGTGTTTTTCAGAGTCCAAGTCAGGGCCATTAAATATCAGAATATTGTTGTCTTTGCACATTTCCTGTTACCTGTAATGTCTCTTTATGTAACAACACCATCTAAAGGTGGTATTAACACAACAGATACTTTGTAAACGTGGATTCATCTCACACCTACAATTTTCAACCTACACATTATTTACTGATAATGCTAAAGAACACATTCAGCATAAATCATGGTCACTGACTAATAAACAAAAAATGTAAAAAAAAAAAAAAAAAAGCAAATTCTTGAGACTAACCTCCTGAGGGGATCTTTGAGGCATTATATGTTGGGCAGGTTGGCAGGCGGCTCTGCCCATTTCAGATCTCTGCTGTTCCTCAAACGTCTCTTGATTCACAGACTGAGATGAGAAACCGGGCTCAGATTCGCTCATCTGAGGCAGCTGGCAGCTTGGCTGGTTTTCCTCATGATGCTGGACAACAGAGCAGACAGATTGAAGGGTCCCCAAATAGTCCGTCTTCGGACTCAAACTGGTTTCTACCACAGTTCGGTTTTGGGGTATTTCTGCAGACATTGCCCTCAAGGTTGACTGTAGAACTTTGGGGGAAGAGGTTTTTCTTTGATTGTTGTTATGAAATCACTATCAGTTATCATTACAGCAGTAGTTAGGGACATATAAATCAAAGTGAAAGCAATATAATCCTAACAAATCGTAAGATGTCACAGCCTTGAACAACTGAATACAACTTCATGTAAACACAAAACTGAAACAAATAAGAAAATGTATAATGCAACCTAATCTGTGCAATTTAAAGTCACCAAAACGACAACTTACCTGGATCAATGTGTTCACATGTGTAGACTTGTGCAGCAATGCACACCGCACAGCCAACAGCTTCAACTGTAGTAGTTATAGGAACTGTAAACAGTGGACGTTGATACCAGATTAAAAAGCCAAACCTTGATTGCTTTCTACAGTTTTGCTGAATGGGGGTAGAGTGGAGAAAACAAGCTTAACTAGTGCATTTTTCTAAAACAGCATTTTTTCCCCTATTGCACTATTTGTACTTATTTTGCTGTCGTTCCCTCCATTTTCCCTTCAGTTCAAATCTCGATTGCATTAGTTTTTCTCATGGTTGCTTGGCTCAGTGTTCTCAATTGCAAAATTAGGCTGTTCTGTTTGTGTATTGAGTTAGCATAGGACGGCTCCTGCCTTCTCAGTAAATAATTAACTTGTTGATTTGTGACATTGATGAGAATATACTTTTTAAAAGGACTGAATTGATATGTTTTGTAATTAATTGCATTATTTTACATGCTGTATTAAAATTTATTTATTTTTACTTTATTTTCTGGGTATCAAGAAACAGCAGATTCTTTAATCAGCTGCTTTATAATTAATGACTTTATCTGCCTGCCCTTTTTTCTCTATATCTCATTGTTTTTCAGTGCAATTTTAGTACCAAATTCTCTTAATGCAAAGTAAAACCACTAACGTTAATCAAATAAAAAGTCCAACTCTGATAAATCATGTGATCAGAAACACTGATGGACAAACACATCTTGACCTGGTCCATGTCCTTGTTAGGACAATGATTGGCGGATGAGTGACGGCCCTATGATGTTTGTTGTACTCGCATGCTGAAAAGATTGAAATTCTCTCAAAGTCCCTGCCTGTCAATGCTCCAACATGGAGGTTCAAAAAGCAGTTCTTTTACTTTGTCTCTTCCTTTTTACAGGTAAGCCAACAGATATCAATTCACAGCGCTTAAATATAAGGCTATTTCTTCTATGCTATACATAATAAAATTAACCGACTAAAACCTATAACTAATAGCGTTTATTAATCTGTATATGACTGTTATGATCATGTTACCTTCAGGTTTCCTCAGGTGCCACAGCCAAAGCACAGGTAAGAAGATCTGGTCATCTGCAAATATAAAGCAAATGTGTTCTTTCAGTTCATGCTTTCATACAAAGAGTACTGTTGATCAAGTTTGAGATCTTTGCATTTTAGAAATATTCTGTAATTCAGTTTGGTAGGGGCTCTAGTTTATGAAGTTTTGGCCTTGTTTCATCGAGTCTAGGAGAATACAGTAGCACAGTTCACAGAACCTATGAATCTTACTTGATCAACATTGATAAATCAAGTGTTTGTGACTTGAAACTCAACTTAGTCCTTTTTTACACCCTTTTCACTTTCTACAGATGTTCTGGAAGCATATATTAAAACGGATGGGGCCTGGATAGTGAAATTTCCTAAAAGTCAATACACTGTGAAAACAGTGGAGGATTGTGCCATCAAGTGTAACAAAGAGACTTCCTTTACATGCAGGTGCAAGTCAGACCATAACTCTCAAAAATATTGTGCTGTACTAGCGTAGACTGATCTGATGTAAATAAGTGATAAGTGATGCTTTATTCTAATCTATAATTGTAAAATATATGTGTGTTTATATGTGCTTTGCAGGTCCTTTTTGTACATCGAAAAAGACCAGGATTGTGTAACATTACCCGCAAACTCAAAAACTGATCAAATACTGCGAAGAATGAGTGCTGCTCTCTATGAGAAAAAGGGTAAGATTTTATTGCCCAGTCTATTTTATTACTTTACATATTCGAAGGTTTAATAGCAGATGATGGACCCCCTAAAATCATTTCAGCATGCATTACTATCTTTTAAATGACCTTTAAGTACATTATGAATTATAAGTAGCTGGCTATGCTTTTTCAAAAGTCTACCTGAGTGAATATATAATCTACATTTATCAAAGTGTAGTTTGGTCCATGTCTGTAAACAAAGTGAAAAAGATTATCTAAAAATCTATCGTCCAATGATGGGGTGTTTTTTTTTAAGTGCAAATGAATGAAGTACCGTTTAGGTTAAACAATGAAAAATGTTTCAATTTTGGGTGGTTCGAAATATGCCTGATAGATGTCGTCTTAAGCATTCTGAAGGTCAGTGGTTCTCAGCTGGTGCTTCAGGACCAAGATTTTACATTTAAAATCATGTTGTGATCCAACACCATACCAAAATTATCATTAAAATTTTGATTTATTGATATTGGCAAGCTGTGTCAGAACATACACTAGAAAACAAAAATAGATACTTTTTAAAATCCATAAACAGCAGAAGTGTGATTTATAATGTTAGCGCTAGGCTATCACATGGAAGAAGAAACATTGGGCCAAAATACTGAGTTTGTGTCGCCTTACAGCCTCTGACATTGGCATCAATAGATATGGGAAGCATTTTTGCCATCTTTATGTACACTTCTTTGGTCACATTTCAGTATTAGCAATTAGCATCTTTTCCTGCTGTCAGAAAAGACATGAGATCCGTTTTTGTGTCACAGACAACAAACCATTTAGTGGGCATTAAGAATGTACAGTAACTACTAATAAGAAAATTGCTACATTATCATCAGTACTATATCAATGTTATTAGTAAATGAAAGAGCATATTAGCTTAGAATACAATGAATGTGTTTTTTAAGTATGTTGTAATGATTGCATTGAATTCCTTCTTACAGAGTACTTACTGGAATGTGTGAATGGCATTGGCATGGACTACAGAGGGACAAAATCCAAGACAAAGTCAGGAAAAAAATGTCAGCGATGGGAGGGAACTTTCCCCCATGTGACAAAGTATATGTCTTAATTAGATTTTTTCATTCATGATGCTGCAAAAGAGAAAACAGCTATAGGAAATCAAAAACTACAGTGGTCATCTAATTAACCACAACTTTCCACAGCATGACGCCAAAGACACATCCAAAAGCTGACTTGGAGTCCAACTTTTGTCGAAACCCGGATGGAGATAAAGGGGGTCCCTGGTGCTACACCACAGATCCAGAGAAACGATGGGAGCACTGTGATATCCAAGACTGCACAGGTACTATTAGCGAACAAACTGCTAAATAGTGGTGGAATATCATACTAATGGGCGAATCTCATGCAGAAGTTATCCTCACTATGCCCTGCTCACTCTGAAGAGCATTGAAAGTGAGCACTCTGAAGGAGGCAGGGCATTACTGGTGTCACTGACACTTTTTCGTTTATCCAACTATATCCTGTGAACATCTTTACAGATAATTTACAGTATTGCAACTTTGTACAAGGGTGCAAAAACACAGTTTAGAATTTGTCCCATGAATCTGCTCTTGAATATCTGCAGAGGAATGTATGCAGTGCAGTGGAGAAAACTACAGAGGCAAGATCTCCACCACTGCGAGTGGATTTACCTGCCAACGCTGGGACTCTCAGAAACCCCAGAACCATGGTTACATCCCTTCAGCGTGAGACATTATCTTTTAAAGCACAAATGGAATATAGTCTATTTTGTGCATATTTTGACTGTGGTCTGTTATTTGTAGCCTTCCTGATAAGTACTTGGAAGAGAACCATTGCAGGAACCCCGATGGAGAGCCCAAGCCCTGGTGCTTTACCACTAGTCCGTCTAAACGCTGGGAATCCTGCTCCATTCCTCGATGCAGTAAGCAATGTTCTTGTCAACCTGAAACACAAAGTTGTGCCAAATGATTAGTTCATCATTTACTGGTCAATGTTTTCTTGTAGCAACTGAACCACCCACAATTGTACCGGAGCTTACCTGTGCAAGTGGAGAAGGTAGCTCCTACAGGGGCACCATTGCGGTGACAGTCTCAGGAAAAACTTGTCAGGAATGGTCATCCCAAAGTCCTCACAAGCATTCTAGAACTCCAGAGAACTACCCATGCAAGTAAGTATCAGCATGATGGTTTTGAGGGACACTGACACTTTTGTTTTGGGGGCTCAAACTCTACACATGGAAGATATTCAGGATTACTTGAAAATTACAGGCAGGTGTTTGAACAGTGTTAGAACTGAACTCTGCAGGACAAGGCCCTCCAGGAGCACTATTGCACACCTGAACTAGAACCGGAGGATCCATTGCTGCTCCTGGAGGGCCACTGTCCTGCAGAGTTTAGCTCTCACCCCCATTTTAGCCTGAACGAGTTAATCTAAAGGTCTTCAGAATTACTAGAAACTTCCAGGCAAGTGCGTTGGAGCTAAACTCTGCAAGACAGGACCCTCCAGGAGCAGGGTTTGACACAGTTGAAGTACCAAAGAGACAGACACTTCAAAGTCTGAATTATCCTTTAGGGTAAAACAATACAATTTTACTCGCTCCAGTATGCCAAACACAATACTGACTGCAGAGAGAATGCAACTAAAATTTGTTTTCATCCCAGAGGTCTTGATGAGAACTACTGCAGAAACCCTGATAATGAAAGAAGTCCATGGTGTTACACCACAGATCCCAAGACCCACTGGGAGTACTGCAGTGTACCTAGTTGTGGAGATCAGCTTAGACCTGGTCTGTGTTGAAGGAGCCATTACAAATCCATATCTCATTAAATGTAGATTTTGGAGTCCTTGAGAACAGGTAAAAGAGCTGTGTATAACATAAATATGTGATTTGCAGAGGAGCCGGTGATCCCTGAAGGTGAGGAATGTTATGAAGATGATGGAAGCTCCTACCGCGGTGCCATGTCAGAGACGGTCAGTGGAAAGAAATGCCAGTTCTGGACATCCACGGAACCTCATCGACATTCCAAAACACCTCAGAATTTCCCTGCAGCGTAAGACACTACACCGAATTGCATCAACATGAACTGTTGCAGGCTTTGCCTCAACCCATTTCACCTCTGGCTGCTGTCATGGTTTTACCCATCATGCAGTGATCTGAGGAGGAACCTGTGCAGGAATCCAGATGGTGACCGAGCCCCTTGGTGTTACACCACAGATCCCACAGTTCGGTGGGAATACTGCAACATAGAGCGGTGTGACAGCAAGGCCAGCCCACAAGAACCCCCTAGCAATCCAACAGAGCCTGCAGCTTCTCCATCCACTTCTCAAGGAACAGGTTTATCCGTCTACAAGCTAACA